TCATGGTTATTTCAATCGGACCATTGAGAATAACGTTCCATATCTTTCTATCTATGGAATTAATGTGCACCCGCATACAGTCTTTCCAATAGCTATAATTTTCACCGTTAAAAACGGGAGCTCTATTGTACGCCCCTTTTGGTTCGTTTGCCATTATTCTATCAATGTTGTATTTGAAGCACCGGACAACCGGAGCTCTGGATACCACTTGTTAGACTAAGGCACGGATCTAGAAGGGGGGGTTGAATAGATCCCTTTTAAAAATTTGAGTGGCGCTACCAATAAAATTGGTTTTCAAAATTGTTTTCAAATGCGGAAGCGGCCTTGGAAAATATAGTCTAAAACGAACAACTATTGGAGAGCCGGATATGCGTCAAGCGGATGAAATTAAGACGATAACGGATAGTAAATCACTACACACTTTTATGCAAAACTCAGATGTGATTCACTCGTACTATTTCCTTATTCCAATGATCAAAAATTACACCAGAACTAGCAGCAAAATTAAGGCAATTTTAGTTCAGCACTTTTGTCAAACAGTTGGTGTGCACAAAACTAGCAGCAAAATTAAGGCAGTTTTAGTTCAGCACTTTTGTCGAACAGTTGGTGTGCACAAATACCTTAAATGATATTTGTGTTGAATGAGTGATTAAAAAAGCCTTAGTACAGTATTTCTATTGTACTTAGTAGTTAAAAAACAGTGTTTCACCAACTCACTCAATCAATACTACAATTTGACAAAATCACTTATTCTAGAATCACTTAATTTTTAAGCTGTAATTGAAAATGCAGAAAATAAAGGAACACACGATTTGATGAGGCAGTTCCCCCAGTCGTCCTCGCGTTGGGGTACGTCTGCCCTCAATTCTACAAAGAGAATTGAGATATGTATTGAATAGATATCACCTGTTTGGTAGAACAGTTATACACAAGAATCGATAGACAATTGATACAAACAATCTTAATGTTGCTGACAATTTCTGCCACTTCTTGCCCCTTGATTCAAGATGAATCAAGTCCTCCAATTTGATGTGAATGACCTCCGATTGCAGCCACCTTATTGACAACTCTTCCGTTGATCAAACCTTCGGCACGGCTGATCTTAGACACACCCAAATTGAACCCGGAACGTCTTCAACCTTTCAACGCCCTAGCTACTAGATTGATCAACCTTCCGCTAATCAATCACCTTCGCACTCGCTTGATTGTTGAACCGACGATTCCGTAACAAAAGCCTTCAAAACCTGTAGTCTTGATAGGTAAAACCTCAAGGTTTTCTCCCAAGAAACACCTGCACCAGCTTCCACTCGAACCGGATCTTCAATCACGCGTTCGAACCTTATCACCGTCGAGCAAACCACAAACCGCAGCAAAAAATTGATTATCTGTAATTTGAGGATTTGTGAGTTGATTGAACGATGAAGATGAAGAACACTGATGCACCTCTTTCACGTTTCTTGACCTGAACACTTTCTCACAATGCTTTCAAAAATGTTATTGAAAAATGTTCTATGAAAAAAATGTTAGTTGTTAAAATTGAAAAGACAGCTATTTATAGAAATACAAAACAGACAGATGACAGATCAAAGAAACATAGCAGAATTTCTGTTTCTGCGCGCGAACGGTCGACCATAGGGTCGGCGTGCGCTGAGCCGTGTGACACTCAAACTGTCATGCGCCGAGTCAGCGGTCGACGCATGATCTTCATGTGCTGAGCCGTCTGATTCTTAAACCTGCATGCGCCAAGTTAACGGTCGACGCATGGTTCCATGCGCTGACCCGTGGGGAATACACAGCTTCATGCGCTGAGTGGTATGGTTGACTCATAGCTACAAAACCTGCAAAAATTGATATGTTTGTTGTTTCGTGCATCTTGTCACGACCAAACATTAGTCACATATATTGCCAATGAAATATGATGATTTAAAAGGATATAGGAAGGATGTAATATGTTAAGTATTGCATGACGATTCTGATTCATCCGAGGTTGTACTTTGTCATCATCGAAACTTGAGAACGTATGTTGTGAGACAGTTTTCCCTCACAGCCATGATTCCCCTAGGATTCCTAGTCCCTCTGTTTAAGATGGGAGTAGGAGATACATTAGGTGTTCAATCCTATGTATGATAACATTAGGATAGTTTCTTCCTTTCATCCCAACTTTAGGAGCATTGTGTATGACAATATTAGGGTCCAGTTTCCCCTTAGTCTGTGTCTTTCTCTTCTCATCTCCCAAACAATTCAAAACATCTAATAAAGGATAACATGTGTTGTACGCTACGAGCCTTAAGTACTTGAGGAATGATGGTTGGGGGGCCTCCTCTCAATTGTCTAGAGTGTTTAGCGTATGCCCTTTGGGCGATATGCGACACATTCGCTCTCAAGTCATAGTCTTTAGTGCAACGTGAGTTACAAACTTAACTCAATTCACTTCTTTGTCTAAAAAACACAAAAAACAAAAGCATCAAACCTTTTTATCCTTCGGGACTAATTGAAAACCATTTTCAGAAAGAGTGTGTTAACTCTTGGTTCTACCGCAAACAGGTAACGCCTAAGTCTCCAATGGTCGAGTAGCAATACACCTAACTGCTAGAACGAAGGTTTAACCCTACTCAGTTTTAAAACACTTGAACCAACCAGTGGTCATGTCAGCCCGAACTACGTTTGCTCCAATTTCTCGTACTAGACGAGGATATGTAGGCACAAGACGACAATGTCTTGGCGACCAACCTTTCCCTCATCACCCATAGTTTTCCGAACTACGTTGACTCTGACTTTCCTATTGCACAAGGGAATACGTAGGCATAGAGTGACGATGCTCTATCGAGTCTCTTTTCTTTTCTTTTGTCCCCGTGAGTCTGTAGCTTAGATAATTTAACACCCTTTTAGATAGATAACAAGCATGGATCCCGTCGAGTACAACGAACGTGAGGGATGCTCATACCTTCCCCTTGCGTAACCGACTCCCGTACCCGAGATATGGTTGCGATGATCTGTCTTCTCCCTTTTTCGTAGGTTTTTTCTGATCGTTTCCTTTCCCTCTTTTGGGATAAATAACGAGCGGTGACGACTCTTCTGTCCTTGTCGGCCCCTCCTTCGCAGCGATGCGACAATATCAAAATAAGATCAAGATGTCACGCTGAAGTAAAAAACAAAATCTAGAAAAATGAAAAAACATCTCTAAATGCATCGAAATCAACTTGATTTAATGTTCACATTCCAAGATAAGATCAAGACGTCACACTGAAGTCATTAACGAAATCTAAAAGAATGAAAAGCATATCTAAATACATCAAAATAAACTTGATTTAATGTTCACATCCCAAGATAAGGTCAAGACGTCACACTAAAGTTATGAACGAAATTCAAAAGAATGAAAAAGTATCTCTAAATGTACCGAAATCAACTTAATTTAATGTTTACATCTCAAGATAATATCATGACGTCACACTAAAGTCATGAGCGAAATCCAAAAGAATGAAAAAATAATCTCTAAGAGAACCAAAATCAACTTGATTAAATGTTCATATCTGAAGATAAGATCAAGACGTCACACTAAAGTTATGAACAAAATATTTAAAAAAATGAAAAAAGCATCTTTAAGTACACCGAAATCAATTTAATTTAAATGTTCACATCTCAAGATAAAATCAAGACGTCGCATTGAAGTCATAAACAAAATCCAAAAGAATGAAGAAAAAAAAACATCTCTAAGTGCACCAAAATCAACTTAAATAAATGCTCACATTACAATGTCACCCTAAAATCATTAATGGGATTCAAAGGAATGAAAGAAATATCTCTAAATGCACTAAAATCTACTTGATTAAATGATCAAATCTCAAAGATAAAATCAATATACATCACATCACACCAAAGTCATGAACAAAATTCAAAAAAATGAATAAAAAATATTTGAATGTGATACATAAGATTACTTAGACTCAAACTCTTGTCGATTAGGATTTTAAAAGATAAAAGTATATATAGTTTCTTTTAAATAATCTTTAATTTAGAGTCAGTTCAACCCTAAAACTAATAAAGGTAGAATTTTCCATCAATAATTTTTTTAAATTATTTGGAGCTCAGATTTTAACCTCAAAAAAATTAATATTATAAACTCACATTCTTTAAACATGAGATAGTTTGTCTTTTTGTTAACAATTTATTTACAGGATTGCTATGTTGACACCCATCTTTACACCCTACACCTCAATTACTGTTCACAAATACTTGAACAAATTTCCCAGAACATGGTTAATAGTGTGTATTTTATTGGTTAATGAAGTAGTGAAAGTGGTTAATAAATTATAGGTAAAATAATTGGTTAATAATGTAGATTTTTGTGGTTAATGCAACTGTGAAGTTGGTTAATGCGCAATCTTATATTTGTGTTATAAAATAAATTTTAAAAATAAAACTTTTTTAAAAAAAAAAATTAATATTTTAAAAAAATATATTATTTTAATAAAAAAACACTGTTCACCGTATAAATACGGTGAATAGTGTATACGGTGTAAGTATTGGGTGTAGGAAATGGTGTAGGAATAGCATTTTTCATTTATTTATTATAATAAAAATCCCTATCTTACATTACATCTAATCTAAAATCCTTGACCCCCTCAACATATTCCACCGAATCCTTCCAATAACTTACCTTTCTCCTCTCTCCACGTGGCACTTACGCCCTCTTTATAGGCCCGTGCCGGTTCTCATTAGTCATCATCCTCAAACATATAATAAAATAATACTTGTCACATTATTTTACTATACTAGATTCCATATAATTATTAATATTAATAAAAGGTCCCCAATCAATAATTCTTCTTCTATACACCACCTGTATTGATGTAAACTAGGCTTTAAATTGACTTTCATAACAACCATAAGTTAGTTGAGAGGCCCTTAGAAAAGACCCTGTTGGGTGTTATTACCAAAAAATACACCTTTCTCATTAGAGCAAAAAAAAATTCTGTTGAGTTTGTGAAAGAGAGTGGGAAATGGGGAATTGTCAAACTGTAGATGCTGCAGCACTAGTGATCCAGCACCCTAGTGGAAAGATAGAGAGATTGTATTGGTCAGTGAGTGCAAGTTATGTCATGAAGGCTAATCCTGGTCATTATGTATCACTTATCATGCCATTGCCACAAGGAGAAAATAGTAGTAATAATGAGGAGGAGAAGAAGAAGCCTGTGCTTTTCACTCGTGTTAAGTTGCTTAAGCCTGATGATACTCTCACTCTAGGCCATGCTTACAGGCTCATCACAACTCAAGGTAGTTCCTTTATTCATTGTGTTTTTTCTTCCTTCATGCTTTTGATTTCTGAAAAATGCTTGTGTTTTCTGGTTTGAAGAGGTTGAGAAAGTTTTGAAAGCAAAGAAGAAGAGGACACATGGAAAGACAGAGGAGGGTGAGGAAATGGTGGAGCTGGAAAAGGAAAGTTCAGCTTGTGAGAGTGAAGGGATGTTGAACACAGGAAAGATGTATCAGGTTTGGTTTTGTTACCTATCTTCAACGGTCATTTTTGGTTTTGCTGTTTTGTTAAGTGATGTTTCATTTTGTCTTCATTTTGAGTGTGTTAAGATGGTTAGTTAGAAGTGATGCTATAACTGCATCACAAATTTCAGGCAATGAGAGCAGACAAACAGAGGCTAAAGGCAGCACCGGTAAATCCAGCTACACCGAGACCAAAATCATGGCGCCCGTCTTTACAAAGCATCTCAGAGTTTTCCATTTGAAATGTATTGTCTCCCATAACATTATTTGTTTGTCTCATTCATGTTAGATGCTCCTGTCGGGTGGATTGAGTTTCATAATTATCTTCCATTATAATCACTATGTTCAGTTACAATATGTTTGTGTGAGATATTGGATCGAACTCTAAAATGATCGAAGTTTGTTCGCAAGTAATGCGTGTTGTAGTCGAAATTTGTTCTAACATGCATTAGTCAATATTACTAGGTTTGTTAGCATGTTGAATTGGACCTTACTTGTAAACTCAATTGTTTAAGTTAACTTGTACCCTAAGTTAGCTTGTAATGGATAATTGTTAAAAAATTCATTAAATTAGTGTACTAGTTTTCTTATAAATAGCATATCAGTCTCTCATCTTGTATAAAAAAAATAGGAAGATAATATCTTAATTCAAAAGAGAGAAGTTACTTGTTATTCTTGTATACTTGTAATCTCGTTTGATAGATAAAGGAAAGGATAGCCGTTTATAATCCATCTTTATTGTTTCTTTTTGTTTGTTTTCTTTGTTAACCCTAACCCTTGTGTGTTTTTTTAATATAAAAAAGCTGATTATATTTTGTTTTAGAGCATTCTATTCTCAACAGATTGTATTAGAAGAAGAAAAAAAATTGAATACAAAATCAAAATCTACTAAAGTTCTTTTTAATGCTACAGTTGAAGTATACAATGTTACAAGGAAATGATAAATCTTTACATTGTAAAAAGACAGAAATGTGAAAATACATTTCATTTTGGTTTTGAATTCCAAATTTTCCAATCTTCGTCAACATAATTTTGTGCCCATATTAGTGATGCTCTAGCAGCCAGAGGTGCTCCTGGTAGTTTCTTCTTCTTTAAAGCAACCAACATATCCGTGAATGGCGTCACCAACAATGTCCCAGGACCTCCATACTCCTTGTGCAAAAATTTGCTAAATATCTGTTTTCCATTAAAGACTAGTTACTATTATGACTCGCTTAGTCATTAGTTTAAAGTGAAATTAAACATGTTCGAAATGACGTGTTTGAAGAAATCAGAGTAATATTTGTCAAAATCTTTGCAATTCAATCAACTCACCATCAATCCAAACATGCACACAGTTAGATAGATGACAAACAGAGTGCAATTTTTTTTATGGAAAAGACAAATTACCGAGAATGATTTTGTTTCTTCTACATATTTGTTTATTTTTACAAAAAGACTTGGATTCAAAGGGAAATAAAGGCGGTGTCTAGAGTGGGGAAATATGATATGATCTATGGTGGACCAATGCTTAATAAATAGTTTGAAACTCCAACAGCTGGTGACACTAGAAACTCATAGTAATAATCTCCCTCATGATTGAGATGGTGACCCAATTGGTGCCGAATTGACATAATAAAATAGCGCCTCAAAACTCAGCTTATGCTCGTTTTCTCTTGATTTTGTTTAACCAACGCCGATTAGATCACTATCTCAGTCGTAAGGACATGGAGATCCCTGAACTTCTATTGCTCAAACTACAGAGAAAGCTGAGGAGGTAATCAAACAAAGATAACCTTATCATTTACAATAGTGATAATTGATGCCCCTTTTTCAACTGATTGATGAAAGTAATGCAAAGTATTAGAACACTAAATCCTGCTCTAAAGAAAACATATAAACAAATGCACATAACACATTGATCACGGAGTTCGGCTAATTGTGTCTATACCTCCAACAACAGGATGACTATAGTAGTTTTTCCATAATGTAATTCTTAAAAGTTACACAATACTACAACACAAGGAATATGGGTCATTCTCAACATAAATGGTCCGCATGCAATTAAATCTAATTTGACTTTTGTGTATGTCCAAGTTCCTGAAATAGTCTTACTGTAACCATGGCATTAAATGCATTGATTAGTTAAACCATGATACTTCCAATAAAACCTTATGCATGTAGGTGGGGAAGGATTAAAGTCACAAGATATGGACATCACAACTACTATGAAAACGAACAGAGCAAACTTAATGTTAAAAGACTAGATTTCAGCAGGATTTGAATAAGTAAGCTGTAAGCAGCTATATTTTAGAACTCTCGCAATCAAATTTCACATAAAAACTAAAAAATAAATCATTCATTGACTCTACAATGGTTAATCATATAATATAATCAATATCTTTGAATGGGACAAACAGAAAATAACAAAATTGCAAAGATGTCTTACTTATTCACAAGGTTTAAAAAAAAATCTGTTACCGCGAAAACAGTCGCGACAAAACCGTACCGAAAAGTGTCCTATATCGTTATTCACTGTTATCAAAAGGTGCCGGTACCGGTATCACAACCGCAATTAGTGTCGCTACATCTGTATCGACCAAAATCGCAAAAGCCTTTACGCAACCGTGACACTTATTTAAAACCTAATTCAATCACATTTTTATGACTTTCAGCCTATAAAATATACTTATCTATTTTTTTGCTTCAGTATCTATTAGTTAATCCTACAAATTACAAAATCATTTTTAATCCTTAAAGAGAAACCAATTGTATATTTGGTTCAAGTTTTTTCTCAAACACCTTGTATACAAAGTATATTAAACAAAAACAATATCTTAACTAGGTTTACCGTTACAATGCATTTAATTTTTCAAAGTGAACTTTCAAGGAAAACGTCATTAACTAACCTGAACACAAACGTCAATAACCGTATCAAGTTCATCACCGAACTCGTCTACATCCTTCGAAAGCTTCTGCAAGAGCTCAACTTTGAATTTGCGTGTCTCATATTTAGCGAATTCAGGGATTGGGTCAGGGTACACGTGCTGCTGTGTGAGTGAGTGTCCGAGAACGCGTGTGAGGGTGGTTCTGGCGAAGAGGGAAGAAGAAGGGAGTGGGCATTGGAAATAGTGGCGCGGGATAAGGCAGGGTGTGCTCAGGATAAGGGGTTTAGAGGGTAGTGGTTTTGATGGAGAGAGAGTAACCGTTGTCAGGAACGAAGAAGATGCAAATGAGAGAGAGGAATTGAGTAGCAGCATTGGTGATGCCAGAGTCTTGGTTGATTTCGATAATCTTCTCTGCAGTATTATTTTGGACATAAATTTTTGGTTCTCCACTGTTGTTCAGCTAAATAAATTATTATTCATTTATTTTCTAAAATTATTGATTTTGTAGGTTTAAATATTAAATTATTATAGATTAAATATGTTTCTGTTTTTCTTAAATATCTTAAATGATTATTTTTATTTCTCAAAATATTGTCTAGAAAGAATGATTTTTTTTAACTAAATCAAACAATGGTATTTAAACTCTAATAATGTAAGACTTTAGTGGGTTCATTATCTTCCTGAATTCTTTTGTGTATTTTTCATTAGGTTAACTTGGTCTCTAAATGCCTAGTTGATCATGTTCTAATAAAATCACTCAGAAGGACTAGTTAAATAACAATGAACATCAAAAGCTTTATGTTTGAATCAATTGAATTTGTTATTATGAAATTGAAAGGTTTAATAACACTAAATTATTATTGAAATCTAACAATAATAATAAGTTTATTGATAAAAAAATATGAGAAAAAGAACAATGACAACGATTCAAAATGTAGAATAGCGGTAAAAAGTAAAAGATTTGAAAGAATTTTTTTAGGGTTTTTATCGTCTCTACAGGAATCGATACGAGAAAAAAAAATATCGTTCAACAATCTCTACGTTTCTAAACTTGGTTTGAATGGTTTAAAAAAGTAAAATAAAATGTAAAAAGAACAACATATGAACATGTAATAAAAGTACGGAAAATAATTTATCAGACATTATATTTTATTTTACCTATCATGTACTAAAAAATCTATCAATCAATTATACGCCACCTAAATCACTTATCAATATCATCATGTGCCGCTCACAACAAAGGTTATGTCTAACGCAAAGTCGAGAGAGCAACTGTTTCGTCTCATCGATAATGTCTTATGCAACTCAACAACACGGAGGATTAAGAACCGATACCCACGTGAATATTAGACCTAAATCTAACAGATGTTCATCTTAGGTCGAGTTCGAATCATATATGTCTATAGCAATCCAAACCCATTAAGATAAATATTGAAATCAAAGATTAACATCGATAAAGATTTGTAAAAGAGATTTTATACAATGATCAATAAATGTACATACAATCAAAGTAAACATATATACAACACATCAACAAATAGAAAATACATAGAGAAGAAGGAAGAAGAATAAACATCTCTTGGTTTGTCAACACCGATTGAAGCAAATTCGACTCTGGATCGTCAAGATGCATAATCTAATATTTTTTCTGAGCTTATTTACACAAATAATGTTGGTGATGGAGTTGGGATCAAAAAATCCCCAAAACCATACCTAAAAAATCTTAATGAAATGAATATATAGGGGTTGGGATTCACAGGCGCGCTAAGCACCCTTAGATCGCGCTAAGCACGATCTCACTTAATATACTATCAAACCGACATAAACCTCACTAAGCGCGGTCTACTCCCGCTAAGTGCGATTAGTAAAATAAAAAGCGCTGCCTCTGCCATCTAGTTCCCCAGCGCGTAAAAAGTTGTGTTAAGCGTGAATGACAGGATTTTGTTGGTCAAAACTGCATTTTGAAGCATCCCTCTTGGCTCAAATGGGTCTATACTTCAACCATGCATTATTACCTACAATAACAGATGAAAAACTATCAAAACTCAATGAAATGTACACAAAAATGCAAAATATACAACGGTATGTAAATTATACAAAAAGTACACAAAACGGGAGACTATTAACGGAAAACAAACGAATAAAATCGTTGAGCGATAACTATTCACACTCAAAATAACAACAATTTTACACTCAACAAACTCTCCCCAACTTAAACTTGTTTTTTCTCAAACAAGAATCGATCAACTCAAAGAAACAAAAGCAATTATCAAAAAATCATGCTCAACAAGTCTTTACAAATGAAAAACAAATGTATGATACACAAATTAAAAGTACATACAAAGCAATGCTTACCACTAAACTACAATATCACAATGACTATGAAACAAAATCTAAGTACAAAACACATGCCAAAAATTCTAAAATCATACAAATGTTCAAGAATGAATCACACCTAACACATAACTTCATCAAGGGGTGAAAAACAAACATGAGGGACAAACTCACACATAAAAATCTTGATAACAAAAATTCAAATTATGCATTCATCTAAAAAAACTTATATTGAAAGTATAAAAGAAAAAATCACAAGGGCTTTAAGGGTCGTAATGTGGCTTGGATAACAAACAATTGTTTTTCTCAAGATAAAAGAAACAAAAATTTGCCTAGTCAAATGAGAGTGATCATTTCTCACAATCTCAAGCATTCACAAATTCCAATCACTTTTTTCTCTTTTCTAAATTGTTACACCATTCCATTCAACTTATTAACACAACATTGTTATATTTTTTTCTTCTTTTTCAACAGTTTTTCCTTTTTTTCTTTTCTTTTTTTTTTCTTTCTTTTTCAATGTTTTTTTTCTCAACCACATAGCAACCAACCTTTCTTCTCTCCAACTTGAATACAACCAATTATGTAAAGTGAATGTTCCCAAATTTATTAGATAAGGGTAAAAACTCAAATAGCAAGTCATGGTTATGGTTCAAGAAAAATATTAAAATTCATATAAAAATTTAATTCAACACCAACATGGATTCTAACAAAGGCTCAAAGGGGTAAGCAAATTCGCACTCACTCACAAGATATATTGACTATTTGGTCAAGTGGTTATGCTTAAAATTAAACAAAATGTCTTGATCATTTTAGTGCTATCATACAAACAACACAAATACAAGATTAAACATAATTCAAACGAGTTAAACAAGAAAGTTGGTCTCCATGCAATTTAGTAAACAATGAAAAAGTTTCTTACATTGGGATATGAACTAAAGTGATTTAAAATTGAACAAAAACTGCAAAAGAATAAATATCATGTAATTTGTACAAAGGCTAGAGTTCATAAACATGTTATGTTCTAGAAAAGCAATAAACACAAACCTTAGCAATACAACTCTCTTTAAAATTTTCACACTACCATAATATTTCCTTGTTAAAACAAAAAAAAAATGAACAATCACACAATGCCTCCTCAAGTTAATAAAAAAACAAGCTTAAGAAAAAACACAAAACTAACAAAATCAAATAAAAAATACTAAACATATACTAACAAAATGGGTGAAAGTGGATAAGAGAATGAGGGATTTTTCTTTGCAAAATAGGACGCGCTAAGCGACCCTTGCACGCACTAAGCGCGAACAGGAAAACTTATTTTTTCAAGATTAGTTATTTCTCTCATGCAACCCATCCATTTTCACTATATACCAACTATACTACTAAATATAAAACTTTACAAACTAAAAAATTGTTGGGTTGCCTCCAAACCAGCGTTCCTTTCACGTCATAAGATCGATGCATTATTTATGTACAAGCTCCTCCATGTTGCCTCTTTCACCGATATATACCAAATAAACATGTGCAACACTTGAGCAAACGTAAGTGAAAAACAAAGATATGCACAAACACATACACACACATGATGAACAACATATATATATATATATATATATATATATATATATATATATATATATATATATATATATATATATATATATATATATATATATATATATATATATATATATATATATATATATATATATATATATATATATATATATATATATAGATATATATAGAAGCTTAGAAATATAGAAGCTATCGCAATGCAATTCAATATCAAAACACTAATCCCCAGCAACGATGCCATTTTGTTCAGCTTGCAGTATAGTGTCAAGAAGCAAAAGATTTGGAAGAATTTTGTCCAGGTTTTTATCGTCTCCACAGGGATCGGTACGAGGGAAAGAATACTGTTCAACAATCTCTACATTTTTAAGTTTGGTTTGAATGGTTTAAAATAGTAAAGTAAAATACAAAAAGAACATCGTTTGAATAAGTAATTAAAGTATGAAAAATAATTCATTAGACATTGTATTTCATTTTACCTATCAAGTACTAAAAAATCTATTAATCAATTATACGTCACTTAAATCACTCATCAATATCATCATGTACCGCTCACAACAAAGATTATGTCTAAAAGTCGAGTGAACAATCGTATCGTCTTATCGATGATGTCTCATGCAACTCAACAACACGGAGCATTAAGAACTGATATCCACTTGAATATTAGACTTAAATCTAATAGATGTTCATCTTAAATCGAGTTTGAACCGTATATGTCTATTGCAATCCAAACCCATTAATATAAACATTGAAATCAAAGATTAACATCGATAAAGATTTTTAAAAGAGGTTTTGTACAACGATAAAAAAATGTATATAAAATCAAAGTAAACATACATACAACACCTCAAAAAATAGAAAACACATAGAGAAGAATGAAAAAGAACAAACAACTTTCGGTTTGTCAACGTCGATTGAAGCAAATTCGACTTCGGATCGTCAAGATGCACAATCTAATATTGTTTCTGAGCTTATTTCCACAAATAAAGTTGGTGATGGAGTTGGGAGCAAAAAAATCCCCAAACCCATACCCTAAAAAATCTGAATGAAATGAATATATAGGGGCTGAGATTCGCATCCGTGCTAAACGCCCTCAGATCGCGCTAAAAGTTAGTGTGATCTCACTTAATATACTATCAAACTGACATAAACCGCACTAAGCGCGATTAGTTAAATAAAAAACATTGCCTCTGCCATCCAGTTCCCCAGCGTGCAAAAAGTTGTTCTAAGCGCGAATGACAGGATTTTGTTGGTTAAAACTACATTTTGAAGCATATCTCTTGACTCAAATGGGTCCATACTTCAATCATGCATTATTACCTACAACAACAGATGAAAAACTATCAAAACTCAATGAAATATACACGAAAGCGCAAAATATACACGATAAGTAAATTATACAAAAAGTACACAAAAAGGGAGGATTGTTAATGGAAAACAAATTAATAAAGTCGTAGAGTGATAAT